ATTATTTTCAGTTTACAGAAAATATTAAATATGTTTATGTTTATTTTAGGTAAAAATGAAAACAAAAAGCAAATTTGATATACGTGTTTTAAAAACTTATTTTGAAAACAAATGAAAGAATTGGTCTGCAGGAGGTAGTTGTAGACGGTTGAAGATAATGGCCAAATGTGGTTGTTCGCCTCCGAATGTAGTGGCCAAAAGTAATTGCCACTGGTGGGAGGTGGTTAGTGGTGGCCAAAAGTGATTGCCAACAGTGAGAGGTCATGGTCGAAAGTGATTGACGGTTCGAAATATTAGCCACTCTGTCGTCTAAAGTGCTAGTTAAAGCTTGTCTCTAACAAGAAGTGGTGACCGAATGTGGTTATCACAAGTGGGAGGTGATTGGTGGCTGAAAGTGGTTGGCATAAGAGGCCATTAACAATGGTGAGCGGTGGTAATAATGAGTAGTGGGTGGTGATTGGAAAGGGTGGCAGAAAGAGGAAGAAATGGAGGGGAAAAATTAAAAAGTGAAACCAATTTTTTTTGTAAACAAACAGGTTTTTATTTACAATTTCAAAAATTCTGAACAGAAGAAAGAAAGAAAATCTAAATGGGGTCGGATCATGACTGCGTTTGTTGGCAAGAGCATTTGCACTGAAAACATATTGACATACGTCCCTATCTAACTTGGATAAATTTTTTTGAACATGTGATGTTATTTATCGTCAAATTTATTTTATCATTTTATCATAATTGTCATATATGATTGAAATATTTTAAAGCAAACTGTACTGATAGTTCTTGAATTTTGTCCATCGTGTCATTTTAGTCCCTACACTTTTAATTTGCTTGATTTTGACCCTTGACTTTTTATATTGTGTCAATTTGGTCCATTTGATAATACTGATTATGATTTTTGTCAAAAAATGATTACGAAGTTGGTTGAGGTTAATTTACAGAGTTAGTTAAATTTATAATTTTACTCTTAAAAGCATGACACATATTCTTATGTGCACATTTTCTATAAAAAAAAAACTAACACTTATAATCAATTGGATCAAATTAAGACAATATCATAAATTCAAGGTCAAAATCGAGCCAATTGAAATTATAAGGATCAAAATGATATAAGTGTCAAAGACTACTTGTGTAATTTGCCCAATATTTTTTCTCAACTTTTCATCTTTTATAAGCGTATAAGTGGTTTGGTTCGGTCAGGATTATGAGAAAGTTTAGCACCAAACTGAGCCTTTCAGTTTTGGTGGTTAAATAATTGAAATAAACCGCATATTACAATTCAATTTTGTTGGTTTTGTCAATTTGGTGTAGAAGAAGGATTCACATGAAATTTTAAAATAATTTATAAAAACTTGTAAAATTCCACATTGGGAATAAATGAAGAAAAATAGTGAAAATGTTTCCCTCCTTAATTTTTATTACAAAAATTGAATTATTAATCACTTAAAACATAAAAGTTTTTAAATATAATATTTCAGTTGATTCTGTTTATATTAGTGTAAAAATTTTCAAAATCAAAACAGACCACACAATATGAAAAACAGACATAAAACTAAAATTTTGATCAATTTTGAGCAATCGGTTTGGTTTCATTGATTTTTCTTACACCCCTAATCTTTCAGTTTATATTAATGTAAAATTTTTCGAAATCGAAATAGAATACCAGTATAAAAAATGCAGCAAAAACTTAAATTTCAATTGATCTTGAGTGGTCAGTTCGTTTTTATCGATTGTTTTTACACCCCTAAGTCAAAAAATTATCCCAAACAACTATTTTTTTTCCTTTTAATTATTAGTCCAAAAAGTCAAAAAGTACACTTATTTAGGACATTCCAAATAACCACAAGAAAAGTAATCACTTTGCTTGATTTCCATTTTTTAAAAATAGTTTTCAGAAAATTCTACACTCTTATTTTCCGTGTTTTTTTGTTTTTACTGAATTTTTTAAATATTTTATGCAAATTTTTTACTTTTTAGACACACTTAACATAAATACACCTAAAAAGTAAAAAAATTGTAAAAAAAATCTTTTAAAAATTCAAAAAACTCAATTTTTAAAAAACTTAATCCAGAAAACTCAAACCAAACACAGTGAATACTTTTTGTGAAGAACAAGAAGTTAAATTTTTTATAATGAAAAAAAGTTATTCTATTTATATAAAATGCTTAACATATGCAACTTTTTTTTGGAATGCACATGGTAACCTTTCCCAGTCAAGTCACACATTGAGATAACTTAGCAAACATCCAATGTGCATAACTCCATGCTAGTAATACACACACACACACAAGAGAGAAGTCATTGGCATATATATATCCACATATGTCGAGAGCATCAATTTAAATTGACCACACAATTTCTAAACCCTAAAAATAATCAACACAGCATATAGAAATATTTGTATGGAAAGACTATAATTGGAGAAAATAAAAAAAAAAAGAGACAATTTTAACTATTGTGTTGTTGGGTTCGTGCTCCATCAGCTGATGACTTTGTTTGATTGGATCTCATAAAATGCTACCTCCCATGATCCAACTATACTTGTTCCCCAACATACATGCACTTGCCATAAGGAATAATAAAGAGTGCTGCTATTAGCACCTGTCAAAATTCTTTAGACCCCCCATTTTATAATTTTTTTATTACAATTATACCCTAAAGTAAAATTACATTAAAAGACATTATTAAATGGAACACCCACCTATCAATAAGAATTAATACTCTATAATATTGGACACCCACCTCCACCTCCACCTCCACCCCCACCTCCAACTCAAACTATACGTATTCCATGTTTGTAAACCCTAAACCTATTACTTTTCATAACCAACTAACATAAACCCTAAATCTATTATTTTTCATAATCATCTTAAATCCTGAATGTGTTATCTTCATCACCATCATCAACACTATTGGACTTGAAAGTTTTGCTTCACTTATGTCACTGTGTACAACAATGGAGGAGGAGGACAACAATTCTAGTGAGACCGACGTTCCATTGGTAAGTTTATCTATCTTGTATTAACATTCTCGGTCATTTTCGGTCGTTTTCGGTTGTTTTCGTTCATTCGTTCTTGTTTCGTTTGAACTGTTCGGTACTGGTTTGATGACTGTTAGAATTATGTTCGGTAATACAGTACTGAACATAATCCTTTCGTTCAATACATAGGTTCCGAACATTGTGCAGATAGTCAGTACTGTTCAACCGAATATCATTTTTATTTTCGTCACTGTTGAACTGAACAAAATCATTAGTTTCGGGACTGTTAAAATGAACATCATTTTCTCAATTTTGAAATTACATTCACACGTGTTTTCAGGGTGATGCTTTGACTAGAGGCAGTAAGGTTGATTCAGAACTTGTAATGGATTATAGTAATGAATTTGTTGCTCATGAGGTGAGTCTTTGATTGTTTTAACAAGTAATGCCACTTTCTTATGTGCAATAATCGTTAGTTTAATTTATTTATTTATTTCAGATTTTCAAGAGTCGAGATGAGTTAATTCGATGGCACGTCAAGTTGGAAGAAAAAATGGATTCGTTATTATCGTGCAGAAATCAGATGGGGTGTATTTGAGGTAGGATGCCAAGACTTAGATTAGCTTGTGAGAGGAGTGGATCTTATAGGACACTCGAAAAAACGCAGGCTAAGTAAAAAAAAGCAAGACTGACTGGTACAAAAAAATGTGAATGTCCTTTTTTATTAAAGGACAAAAAATTAGCCATAAATGATGACTGGATCTTGATAGTTGTTTGTGGTGTGCATAATCATCCTGCTGCATAATATCTTGAAGGTCATTCTTATGCTGGAAGGTTGTCACATGAGGAAACCTCTTTGTTGGTAGACATGTCGAAGAGTATGGTATGACCGAGTGAGATATTGGTTACATTGAAACAACGTGATGATGCAAATGCTTCCATAATGAAGACAATTTACAATGCACGTCATAGGTATAAAGTTGCTGAGAAAGCTGAGAGATCTCAAATGCACCAACTATTAGGTCAGTTAGCGATGAACAAGTACATTGAGTGGCATAGGAGCCGTGCAGATACTGAGACAGTGACTGATTTGTTCTTTGCACATCCTACTAGTTTGAATTTGTTACGTGCATTTCCAAAAGTATTGTTGATGGATTGTACTTATAAGACCAATCGATATCGGTTGCCCCTTCTGGAGATTGTAGGTGTGACATCGACAGACATGACCTTTTCAGTTGCATTTGCATACCTTCAGTATGAGAAGGAGGATAACTATACATGGGCACTTGGTCTTTTGCGTAGTGTCATGGATGAAAATACTCTTCCTTCTGTTATTGTCACAGATAGAGAATTGGCCCTTATGAATGCCATATGTACGGTGTTTCCTGCAACTACAAATTTGTTGTGTAGATGGCATATTGGAAAAAATGTGCTTGCCAATTGCAAAAAGATGTTTGAGACCAAGGATAAATGGGAAATGTTTATAATGAGTTGGAATATGTTGGTTGTGTCATCGTCTGAAGAAGTATACATGCAACGACTGTCTTTGTTATATAGTGAGTTCAGTACTTATCAAGATGCACTTCATTATGTTACCTCATCTTGGTTGGATACATATAAGTCGAAATTTGTGGCTGCTTGGACTGACACATTTATGCACTTTGGAAATTCTACAACAAATAGGTAAATACGAACATTTAAATTTACTAGTTGTTTGGTTTTTTTATAACATTATTTTTATAATAGTTTATTTTCATATATAGGGTTGAGAGTTCACATGCAAAACTTAAAAGATATCTTGGATCAAGTTAAGGAAATTTTGAGTCGAATTGGACAAGGATACACAATTTACTTGAGTTGCAACATAGTGAAATAAAATCATCATTTGAGAAAAGCAAGTTAATTGTGCAACATGATGTCAAACCTGCGCAGTTTAAGGAGCTTCATGGTAATGTCTCAATTACTGCATTAGAGATCATATTGGCTGAGTCTAAATGAGCATCTTCTGTTGGTATTGATATTATGGCATGTGGATGTGTTGTTCGACGTACTCATGGTTTGCTATGTGCACATGAGATAGCAAATTACATGAGGGAAAATCGGCCAATTCCCCTCTCTTCAGTTTGTTCATATTGGACTAAGCTTGATATGTTGAGTACCCCACACACTGTAAGTGAAGAGTGGACTTGTAGACCTGAGTTAGAATTATTTGCCAAACGATTTGAGGAAGTGGATCCAGATATGAAGAGGTTTTTGTTACAAAAATTGAGGGAGTTAGCCAAACCTGATTGTACATTTTTGATTGAGCCGAAAGTGAGGTCTAATCCACGGGGTCGGCCAAAATTGAAGATTGAGACCTCCACTCGTCGTGAGCCATCTGCGTTTGAAATAGTTGCTTTAGCACAAGATAGTTATCCACCTGGAGTCATTGCCAAGGCGAGTGTAACAACAAAAAAGGTGAAAACAAAGAAGAAAGAAAAGGTACATGGTTTACTAGTGAGGTATGTAATTGTGTCATGTTGTCTACTTTATTGTCAAACATTGGCATTGGCCTGTGATAGGTTCACCGGCTTCGATCATTGAATCCAAATTGCTTTTTAGAGGCATTCCCTTCTGAATTGAGACGATATATTAAATACGTTAAGGATGTTGCAGCGGATGGCAATTGTGGGTTTCAAGCTATTGCTGGTTTGATGGGTTTTGGAGAAGAAGGATGGTTACAAGTGAGAAAAGATTTACTTAAACAGTTGCATGCGCATAGTGACCACTACAGGAACTTATTTGGATCACAAGAGAGAATCGATGACCTGACCAACATCTTGGCATATTTTGAACCAAACCCTGGGTTGGACCGGTGGATGACGATGCCTGACATGGGTCATCTTATATCGTCTTTCTACCAAGTCGTTTTGGTCTACTTGTCTATGCAACAATGTTTGACATTCCTCCCTCTTACGTCAATACCGACGTATGTTGCCTCTCGCAAGGAGATATGTATTGGCTTTGTCAACAACAACCATTTTGTTCAAGTATTGGTTTCTAATATTTTTGTACATTCTAATTTTTTTGTAAATTCTTGTATATTATAACGACAAATTTCTTAATAACGACAATATTTTTGTATATTCTAATTTATTTTTATTTTTTTTGTAGCTCATTTTGGAGCATGGTCATCCTATTCCACCCATAGCAACTAACTGGTGGAGGTACCATGACCCTTGTGCAGTAGGCTGGGAGGTTGTATACAGTTTCAGAGTGCAACATTTCAAATCACTCATCAATCTAGACGTAGCCACAATTGAAACAGTAGACCTGGATGAGGACTAATGTCATATGAGTGAGCTAAGAAATAGAATTAGAATGGATTTCAGTTATGTAATTTTCTTTGTTAAATTAACTTAGAATGGAAAAGAGTGAATTGGAATGGATTTAAGTTATGTATTTTGAATGGATTTAATTCATGTTATTTTCTTTAGTCTAATGAATTGGAATGGTAAACATTGAACTGAAATGAATGTTATTTTCTGTGTTGTACTGAATTAAAGTTGATGAAAAAAGTGAATTGGAATAGATTCAAGTTACACAGTGATGAACCATATATGTTCGACATTACAGTGATAAACGAAGACCATCTGTTCGGCATTACAGTTATGAACAAGTCAGTTTGATTTGGTTAGTCAGTGATGAACAGAAAATTCATGTCTATTCATTAGTCCAGATTTGTTTATTCAGTGATGACCATAAAGCAATAAACTTACTAATATTTGAAACAAACAAACTATCAAACATCAAACCAATTCAAACCATCAAACCATCTAAACCGTCAAATGTTCGGCATTACAGTGATAAACTAAGACTACCTGTTCGGCATTACAGTGCTAAATAAGTCAGTTTTATTCGGTTCTACAGTGCTGAACGAGGAGGATTTGTTCGGTTAGTCAGTGATGAACAGAAAATTCATGTTTATTTCCATCTTTGTTTATTTAGTGATGACCATAATGCAATAAACTTACCAATATTTGAAAGAAACAAACTATCAAACCATCCAACCAATTCAAACCATCAAACCATCTAAACCATCAAACCAATTCAAACCATCAAACCATCTAAACCATCAAACCAATTCAAACCATCTAAACCATCAAACCATCTAAACCATCAAAATAATTCATTGAGTGCCCAAAAAGGTATGGTAAAGTCATATACAAGCCTAGCACCATCAAAAAGTCTAACATATAGTAAAGTGTTATTTGACATTTGTTATACTTGTGTCTAACACCATCAAAAAGTCTAACACATGTTTGAGACTAAGATTTCAAAATACACATTCAAAACATTTGAACCCAACAAATACTAAAGTCTAAGACGTTGCTCCATGCTTCCTGCGACGAGTGTACACCAAGTTCTCTGATGGTGTGTGTTCTTCAGTGGACTGTTGGCCCTCCAAGACTTGTGTTATCTTCTTCATGGCATTGCGTAACATTTCTCGGGTGGGAGCTGCTTCATTGTATCCAATTTCGAGCATTGAACGTGAAATGCTTAAGGCACTGTCAATGCGCTGCAAACAATAAAATAAAACTTAACAATTGCCTTAAACAAAATATATATGAAAATGAAAATGAAAATGAAAATGGTAAAAATTGACATACGAATTGAAGTTCATGATAATCAGCTGATGTCTTTGTGCGTGGATTATACTTAGAACGATGTGTTGGGTTTTGAACTTGCATGTGTGAAATGGAAGTAAACCAGTCCAAGTAACCTGGCACACAATCCCATGGATGCAAGACTAGAACACTACGACCTATCTCAGACAACAAGTGATTTTCCCAACTCTCCCAAATCGTATCCAAGTATTTATAGGCAATGATGTACTGTTTTGCAGTGGATCCTCTAGAGGCTCGAACTGGAGCAAGTGGAGGTGAGGGAATAATTTGCACCCTACCAAACTGTCTTAGTACCCTATCTGGATGGTATGGTTCAACAATGTGCATACATTTTAAGCATCCACTATAGTAAGCAACATCAAAAAAAGGATGCTCAATACGGTTATCATGGTATGGATCCCAAATAACCTACAATAGTAAAAATTTTATATGTAAGTTATGAATTAGATTGAATAATAAAAAGTAATATGTACATACATTGACATAAGATTGACACTTACGTCATGGGCCTCTAATCTGTCGAGGTCCTCTCGCAACCTTTGTAAAATAGACGTTGACGAACCAGATTGGGTGCGAGAAATCCAACGAAAGACACGAGGTTGATCTTCTTTATAGTCCAAATTGGGGTGGGGTCTAGCACCAACAAAATGCTCGTAAATCCAAGCTTCCAGCAATGTCATGTATCCTGCCATCTATTTTACGGCATACCTTGTCGCAGTACCCAATTGTCGGTATAAAAAAGCCAATGCGGCTGCACCCCAAGCATAAGAAGCAACCGACCGCAAATCCATAAGAAAAGACAAATACACTACCGGAACACGTGTGCCTGTCTTGTCTGCAAATAAGGTATAACCTAACAAATATAACAAATATGCCCTAGTTGCACACTCAATGGTATTATCATTGTCCATATCAGACACTGACCCAAACCGTTGTCTCAACCATTCTACCTTGATAGACTGGCCCGTGCTACCTTCAACGCTACATTCGCCTCATCTATTGTTACTCCGAAAGCCTCAACTAGCAAATTTGCAGCGTCAACATTTGATAACTTCTTGCAAGAGACTGATTTACCAATCACTGGAATCCCTAGAATTACACTAACATCATCTAAGGTTGGTGACATCTCACCAAATGGTAGATGAAACGTGTTTGTCTCTGGCTGCCATCTTTCTACAAAGGCCAAAACTACAACTTTGTTTACAAATTTGTAGGAGCAACTCACTAAAGAAATCAACCCCGAATCCTTAATTAAACCATGAAATTTGGACTGTTCATTATCTTCCAAGTTGAATGACCATTCTCCAACTTTAAAACCATGATTTAAGCATTTAAGTATTTCACGTTCCTGCAACATAGAATGAAAACAAGAAAAAAGAAAAAAGAAAAAAAGAATTAGTAAAGTTGAAACAAAATTTGAAACATTAAATTAATGTAAGACAATGACTTACATCATTATGCCAAATTTTGGCTGCTATGTGACAATGAAAACTCTTCAAAATTGAAGGATCATATGGCCCTCCAAGAAAAGGTCCAGTAAGATCTTCATTAACTTTTTCAGTTGTATCTGCTGGTTGGTCTTCATAGTTACCCATGTCTGTTGGTTCATCACCTAGATCATCACCCATGTCTGTTGGTTCATCACCCATATCTATTGGTTCATCCCCCAAATCATCACCCATGTCACTCACATTAAATTGATTGCCTCTATCGTTTTCAACCTCAACCGTTTTTGCTAAAGCAGCACCTATGTCATTCATGTCATGTTCATTAACTCCACTACCTTGATCCTTAGTCTTACGAGTGCGTTGAGATCTCTTAGCCACTTTTTGAGAAAGTATAACATTACGTCTCCTAGACGCTGTTGGGCGATCTCGAGCAGTTTCCACCATAGCTGTCCACCAAGTACAATTAGATGTAATGCATTAGAAGCATGCCAAGAGCAAGGCCATCAAAAACAAAAAAAATAGATAGATGCATTATTTGGTCTATAGCTTGGGCTTGCTTGGGCTTTACTGCTAAATGCAGGTATGCTATGCAAATAGAATAGATAGATGACTTAATTAATATCCTTAACTAGCTTACTTAAATTAGCTCACACAATTCAAATTTAAATAAGAATCAAATTTAAATTAATACCTCCATTCTACAAAGTATCTCAACCCTGCACAAGTTCTCAAGTTCTAACTGACAAAAAATTTAATACCATCCCTTTAAACATACATGGACAAAAAAAATGTGACTATAAACTTGAAGTTTAGGGATTTGCTTTAGCATTATTTTCTGATTTTTGATTTATTGGGTTTTATTAGGATTTATTGTAGTTTTTTTTTTTGGCAACTATTACTGAGGTTTCCTAGGATGATATGTAATAGGTTTTGCAAACTTGGCTTAGATATTGATTAGTTGAGTTTTTTTGATTTGGGATTGGTTCACTGTTTCCTCCTTCCCTCTACTTTCTTAAATAATATGATCTCCACTTGGTGGGTTCATGATATCATTGTCCCACCATAATTTTTTTTTTTAATAACAAAAAAATTCATTAATAAAAAAGTAAGAACATGGAATACAAAAATAACAATAAAAAGGAAACCATAAGGACAAGAAGTCCCCAGCAAAGAAAAAACAAAAGAAAAATATCGTGATCTACGAAAAACCTTCCAATCTCTAGAAATAAAAAAAAAAAAGGGAATCTCCTTTAAAGGAAGGAGATATTGAAACCCAAATGAAGCCAAGTAGTGAATCTTCTCCCATAATCCCTCCAAATCATCACTTTTCCGTTCAAAGATTCTATCATCCCTTGCTAACCATATGACCCACAAAACTGAACACACAACACAATTACAAAGATCTTGAGTTTTGTCACTTGAACCAAAACCTCTTAGATCAACACAAAACAAATGAACACAAGAAGAAGGAACTACCCACTCCAATGTAGTGGTTAGGTAGAATTCTTATAGTACCCCCTAATGGTTGCCACAAGGTGATATTAAGTGATAGAGAGCCTGGTGTGGTTGACAGTATGAGGTTTGCAAATTGTTAAATTTACTCAAAATGGGACAGTAGGAGCCCCTTGAAAGCATGATTATGTTTGAACACTCATATCATGTCTTCATGCACTTTTTTTTTTTGATTAGCAAAAAGAACCTTTATTGATGGAAAATCATACAAGATATGAGTTTACATCAAAAAAGAGAGAGGGGGAGCATCAAGCATCAAAGCGACCAAACCCAATCCCAACTAGGTTGGCATCGAGAAGGTAGCCCAATCATCTGCAAGCTCAACCCCAAGAGATTGGTGAGGAACCAAACTCAAAAGAAAGAAGGACATCATGAGACAACAAAACCAAAATCCAACAAAACCAAGTCAAACACCAAGAGGACTTGCCCACAAACAGATTGCAACTCTTTTTTTTTGGGCACTACAGCAGACCAGTCAGCCTACAACCTAGCAGCAGAACAGAACCAACATGCCCAGCAGTCCAAGGCAGATCAGAACCAACATGCCCAGCAGTCCAAATAGAACAAACTAACACCTCTGCACTAGCCAAAATCCTATGACAGAGCAGCACTGTTGAGCAGAACAGACCAGAGGTAGACCAAACCAACCCACAACCCAAAGCCAGCACCGAGCACCCCTGCTGCTAGGAGGCCAGAAGTA